AGGCTGCAGAGGAAAGGCAGGGTGAGGGATAAGGGGTCTGATGCCAAGAGTCAGCACTGGCGTTACAGAACAGGTTCGAAATCTTATATTAAATGACAGACTCGGTCTGCTGGGGCGAAAGGAGAAGAAGGTCTCTGTGCAAAGCAGCTGTCGCCAGCCCGTTACAGCAATCAGCCCTGGTGGCTTTCACAGCATCACATTTTAACCAGAGTCCCACATTTCGGGTGGGTTGATGTGCATCCTCAGAGTCCCAGCCCACGTTCACATTCCCCACCTGTAAAGGGCTTGCATGTGCTGGATTAGCTCTTCAGGCGTCACTTTTTAAAGTAGGAGCTACCTACTCCAGACCAGAGTCCAACACCAAATACTGGGCTTCTGGAAGAAGCAGCTTTGGCAGCTCAAACCCAGTCCTCATGTTTCTCTTCTCCCTTGAACAAAATGTCCGAGATACCACAACATGCTTAAATTAAAAACAGGAAAACGGCAGGGGGGTGAGTTGTGGGGGAAATAAGGGCAGAAAGGGAATGTACAGCAAAGGGCAGGGCAAGGCAGGTGTGACAGATTGATCCCACGGCTGAAATGCTTGCTGTACGTGACAGGAGGAAAAGAGGGGGGGTAGGGCTTGGTGGTGGGGTTGGCAGCTCGTGTAGGGCACCCCTCTTCGTCCTGCCTTTGCTCAGGCTTCCTATTTGGAGAGCTTGCTGATGACACGGATGAGGGCTCCGTTCTCGTCCTTCAGCCTTTGGTTGTCCGACTTCAGTTCTGTCAAAATCTGCGGAGAGACAAAGACAAGGTGGGATTACAGCTCGGTGCTGCCGCCTGGGCAAGCCCTGTGGCTCAGAGGGGACAGCAGGGACGTCGCCTCCCCTCTGCCCAGCGCGCTGCTCATGTTGACAACTTCTCTGTAACGTCTCCAGGATTTTTACAAACTGGCTGTCAGGTGTGGAGGGGTCGAGAGGGGACTCGAGCACAGCAAAGAGCCAGGGAGCCCTGAGAAAGCCTGTGGTGAGAAGCGATGCCACAGCCGCAGCACTAGGTCAGGACCAGGCTGGGAGGGCGGGAACCATTTCTGAGCTCTTTCATCCCAAACCTGCTCCCAGAGGCTACATAGGGCTCGGCAGAAAACTATAAAGCCGTTTTTTTCTGATTTGTTTGTTCCATTTTGCCAGGACTAGAGGGAAAACAAAGGTTTGCAATTCTAACTCAGGACCGGACCAAGCCTGGCTTGCAAAAATCTCTCTAGAATAAAACCAAATCACTTTGGGATCCTGAAGAGGTTTAATGCAAACGCGCGTGCCCCCAGAGGACTGGTAGAACATTGTCCTGGTTTTGGCTGGGATAGAGCTAATTTTCTTCCCAGTAGCTGTGTTTTGGATTTAGGATGAGAATAATGTTAATAACACACTGAGTTTTCATACTGACACTGGAGAGACTTCCTTGGTGCTCAATTTTGAATGCTGGAGCTCAACCAAGGGTCACAACACAGACGAAAGGCAGAGAGCTTTTAGCTGGAAGTAGAAGAGCGAGCTTTGACAAGACCTTTGCAGCATTTCCCACTGGCAAAAAAATCCTCCCGGCTCCCCTTGCTTCCCGCCATGCAGGTGGGTGACCTTCAGTGGACTGTCCCCAGCTGTTTGGGGGGTGGAAGGGGACCCTGTGCTCCTGTCTCGGGGTGTGACACAGAAGGTGTAACTCGCACTGAGGGCAAGCGGCCCTGGAGCCTGCTGGAACAAGCCAGGGTGGAGCGGGGTCACAGGCAGACACGAACGGCAGCAGTACGAGGTCAGCGATGACTTCTCTCTGCCTACGTGGATCTTAGAGGAATTCCCCCAAATTCAAAATCCCCACTAAACCTTCTCCTTCCTCCTAAGCTGGAGGTTCAGCTCTGACCACAACCTCCTGCCCGTTCCTCTCATCGGCAGCCCTTCCATGACCACTGCCCCCAAGCAGCTCCCGGGACGGACGCCAGCTCCCACCGCTCCCGCTGGAGCAATTCCTCCCTTCCGCAGCCAGGCCCAGCCACGCCTGGCCCCAACGCGCCCAACCCCGGCCCTGCTGGTGGCAGATGCTCCAGACAGGAGGTTCTGCACGAGAGAGAGGAGGGGGAAAGCGCAGCAGGCGAGACGTTGGGGAAAGGGCAAAACTACGTGACGGGCTGTCCAGAGCTTCAGCTAGTGACGCTTAACTGCCTCCCTGGGAGCAGTGGTGGTGCGACAGGCACGTCTTCGTGACAGGGCTGTCACCAGAACAGCAGTCATAACTCCTTACGCAATTTCTCACAACCAAATAAAAGGCACTGCCTGCCACCAAAGTGCTCAGGAGCCCAGAGAAACAGGGAGAGCCCTTGCTGCCTCGCTCTGCACCCTCCGTTCCCTCCTGAGCTTCACCTACCACCCATGACACAGCACGGTGCCTTCCAGTCCAGGGCACTGCGGCAGTTCAACCACCTACTGGGGTCTGCAGATGGACAGTCCCTGCCCTCTCTACGTCACTGCTCGCGGTGGCCTTGCAGTCTTGCACGTGTCCATCACTGCAATAAGGTAGTGAGAGAAGTTCTGCCACTTGCTTTGGCAGAGACAGGCTGTCACGGGTTCCCAGAAGCAACACCAGAGAGCAACCATCCTGGTTCTACAGCTTCCTGGAAGCTCTGACGGTGGCTGTGCTTTACACACATGCTTCAATGAACTTTGGTGATTTATTTGAAAAAGAAGGAGCATAAGCACATGTAAAGCAAGCGCTTCTCAAAAAGTTTCCTGGCTGTAACCCCACTCCATCAGTTTCCAGCAAAGCTTTCTGAAAACTAAAAATCAACCTTATAAAATTTCATTCCTCCCAGGCCAAGGGCATTCTTCCCTTTGACACAAAGCAGCCTCAAGTCAGGTAACATAAACGACACGTGAAGCAGGCTGGTGAGGCAGACACCCGAAAACTGAAGCTTTATACATGTCATTGGAAATGGTCAGGAGGGAGCGGCACAGCCCCCAGGGGACGGTGAAGCTGACCACGATGCAGTGTCGGCGTAAAGTGAGTTTTGGGCTAGAGGCTGGTCTGAGCAGCGGTGCTGTGCGTTACCTGCGACACTGGAGAAGGTGGCACTTTGGAAATTACTTGGATTTAGGCAAACGAGATTCTTTGAAAAGCACCACTGCTGCAAGAGCGTGGTAAATCCGTCAGTTTAAAACAGTGACATCAGTGTACAGCTGTGATGTCTACAGACACCGGGGAGACAAGGCTTACTGGTACCAGCAACATCCTGCGTCAGACCTACTGAAAGAGTTGGAAAGAAACCAGCAGAGCTTGCAGACACACGGTTCTTCTCCAGCTTGGGCACCAGCAGCGAACTGCAGACCTATAAGCAAGCTGGGAAGGATCAGGCCCCCCCTGTCTCAGCCAGCCTGCACGAGAGACAAGGCACGTCGGAGCAGATGGGTGTTAGCAGGGGGAAAGCGATAATGTCTTGCCTAGGAGAAAAAGAGAGACCGGGGATTTACAGTTTGTGAAACATTATTTCTTCAAGTCTGGAAACAGTTTTGCTCAATTTTCCCTCTCAGATCTCAAAGCACGTTGGGAAGGAGAATGACTTAAACTGACCACTTGTGAGAGGGAACGAGTCAGTGACAGGTCTGATAATATTTTTGCGGATTTAAATCAGAAAGAAGGTGAGATCATTTAGTCTGACCACCTGCACAATTCAGGCCACATAACACGACCACCCCCCGCTCAGCCCCTGTGATACACGCGAGGTCTTGAACTGAGACTCCCGGAAAGGGGAAGCCACAATTCCCTTGGTTCGTTTGTTGCTACGGTTAATCATCCTTGATATAATTTGTGTGCTAAGAATAGACTTTTTTTATACCTCAGTGCCACTTCCAGCCCATGAGAGCACATTGCTGCTTCCTTTTTTTTAAAAAACCAGCCGTGTCTGAAGGGATCTGAATATCCCAACTAACCTGCAAAAGGCAGACAGGGCCCTAAGAAAGAAGCATTTACAGCTTTATTTTAGCACCCAACCAATGAAGGCACAAGCAAGGATGTAATTTAACTGTGTGATGTGCGAGGACAAAGCTTACGGAAGGTTTGTCCTTGGTTTTCAACCACTAATTGCTCTGCACTGAATTTAAAACAGAAGATGAAAAAAGAAAGTGCACCTGGTCCGGCTCCTACCGCTTCACCTGCCTCGTAGCCAGCCCGCCGGAGGCAGAGGGGATGCTGCTGCCTGTGAACTCGGACTCAAAAATCTGTTTAAAATGAGGGAGGGAGCTCGTCCTCTTTGCTCAAACGACCACGAAAACCTGCTGAGGACTGCCCAGTTCAGGTTTTCTAACAATCACCTTCCTGTCTAAAATGTGCACTTGTCACAACAGCCCTAGAAACGTATTCCGTTGTTTGTTCTGACTCTGGATAATCTTATTTGCCGGGTGCCAGCTTTTCACTGAACTAAGTCCAACTAAAAAAGAATTATATTGTAAGCAGACACATAGGACCAAACACTATTTCGAGGTATGGTGATGGGGAAGGGGCTGCTGGCTAACCCACTGGCACTGACGAGCCCCCCAAAGCCACTTGCCTGTGCTCAGCCACAGGGAAGCAGCTGACCCATCACTCCTCGGTGGCCATCTCAGCACCACCCACCCAGCCCGACGCCCTCAAGGCGTCCAGGCGGGGAGCCCGTCCTCCTATTTCCCTCCCAGGTGACGGGCTCCGCAGGGACCAGGCAGCCCCCGACGCGGCGGGTTAGTAAATCGGCGAGGTCAGCGCCACGTGCCAAGCAGAGCGAAAGTCAGCAGGGCTGAACGGAGCCTCCAGCGAGGCCCTGCCTTCAGCCGGGCAGGAACACCGTGCTTGCGGCTGGCAGGACATCCTTTGCCACATGCTGCTTTGGAGCCACAAGCTTTGCCGGACACCCTCGAGAGCAACGAGGCGAGGGGGAACAGCCAAGGGAGCGGAGACCTGCCTGGAAGAGTGGAAGAGGGAGGCGAGATGAGCCGGAGGGAAAGCAGCTACAGCTCCTCTGATTCGGAGGGCTTGGCAGGCAGAGAAAGTCTGGCTACGACCCGGGTCAGAGCCCTGTTTTCAGCCAGCAGTTGCTCATTCATCTGCCTCAGAGTATGAATCTGTTTGAGCTGGTGGAGATTCTGCAGAGAGTGAGAGGAGTGGACAGAAAAATACAGAGAAAACACACCACGAAGACAAAAGGGCACAGAAAGGTGAATTTAGTCCACAAGCAGTAAAAGAAAAAAAGAGAATAAATGAAAAATTAGTAGCAGTGACTGCTGGATGGGCAGCAGCTCAGACGTGTATGGGGAAAGCCTTACAACACACTAAGGATGCTTTGGGAACCATCCCTTTCTCCAGGAGCCCCCAAAGCCTTTAAAAAGGTCGAATAAAGGAATTTCCCAACGCAAAGCAGGACAGTCTCTTGCAGGTTATATTCTAGTTTACCCAGACAGTGAGCTCCAGCAGCACAGAGCCCCTGGACTTCAGAGTGACCGTGAGAGCGATCACCATTGACTTACCACCTACGCAGGCTTTGAAAACACGGCTGGCAACTGAGAATTTCTTTAAAACTGCTCTTCTTCCACGTACCTCTAAAAGCTAAAGCAGTCTTGTGCAGCAAAGAGTGATCAGAGCTTCACAGGAGGTTTTAAAGACATGGACTGAAGCACCTGCAAGCGTCACTGTCCTGCCGCAGACCACCGAGACATGCATCACGCCTGCTCGCATCCCTCGTCCCTGCGGCACCCGAGTGATGGCTCCTGGGTCTGCTCAGGCTGCAGTCCTGCCACACGGTCTGGGGAGTGTGTGGGCTTTTCATCCCTGCCCACATTCAGCTCTTCTCTGTCACAGGGCTCAAGTTATCTCTGATCTCCAGAGGTGAAATGAACCTTACACCGCTCATTTTAACTAGAGGAGTTTGAACGACAGCATCTCACACAGGAGGCACGTGAAAACACGGCATTCTTGGTTACGAAAGAAACAAGCGGGCAAAGGATGGTGTAGAACTCGAGCCCCAAAGCTGGGGCTAACACAGGTATAGCGGCAACGGGAAGATACAGACCGTAAAAGCAACGAGGAAGGCAAAACAGGAGAACGGTACAAGCCATGCAGACATCGACATTTCTACAGGGACAACATTTTTCCCAGCGATGCTGAAGTGAAACCATGTGCTGGACATTTATACCAAGCGCAGGCGCCAGGACATGCTGAGGGCTGCAGAGCTGCTTTCTGAGCAGCGTCCCAACCCTCCTTCCTCCCGACAGCTCGGTGGGCAGCGGGGCCACGTGTACAAGAAACCTTGCTCCACGGCGGAGGGAGTACAGACACCGGGCAGGGGAAAGGCAGGAAGAGAAACATCTTTGAGAAGAGTAGTTAGTTTAAAGTTCAAGTGAAAAAATCCCAGCCCAGAACCAAAGCAGCTCCACAAACCAATGGGCTCCTCCCTGCATCCTCTGACTTGTGAGCCTGCAATGGCAGCGAGGAGACAGAGGGAAGGGTCTACTGGGAAAGCGATTCCCTTCTGCCATTTAATCAGCTGAAAGTGCTCAAAGGAGCTCGCTGTCCGTCCTCAACCAGAAGCAACACAGGCACAACTACCGTCATACAAAGAACTTGCATGAACCTCCACCCGACTCACAGGACATGGGGCTGGCTGCAGCTGGCAAGGAACCTGCTGTGCCCCGGGACATTTTGTCCAAGGGCTCATTCCTGTATGAAAGAGAAGTCCTCTGTGTAGCCCCCATCCATCAGCTCGATTCTTAGCTACCCAAAAGCACTACCTCTGCTTCCCATTAAAGGAATCAAGATACCTTGTCCAAAAGCCTTGCAAAACCCAACAGAAGCAAGGCCGGTGAGCGCGGGGAGCCAGCAAAGACGGGGTTTTAGCCCCCTGAGGGCATCAAACTGACAAAGCAGCTCCTGCTACTTGGACTACGCCAACGTAATTCTGACACTGGATAAATCAATAGGTCCTGAGACAGAGCTACAGCCAACAAACCACAGAAGAGCTCCAGGGACATCTCGGCAGCGAGATCCCCTCCCACCAAACCTCAGCCATCTATCCACCACTTAACCTGCCTGAGCCGCGCGGGCTTCCCCTGCGCTTGGGGAGGGCACAGACGGGCATCGCACGTCTGTCCTGTGATAAATCACACCCAGGAGCTGCCAGAGGATGGTTCACACTGGAAGAGTCATTTCTTTTGTGTCACCATGGGTAATAACCGTCCTCTGTTTTATCACAGGGAACACAGCTGAGCAACGGGCTGGCAGAAAATGTCAAACGTGTAAAACGGGGTGCCACGCGACGCAAGATGGAAAGGACTGTGATCATTTGAGAGACCACCTTTATTTGTCCATACCAATATAGCACAAAACCCCAGCATGGCACCAGACGCAGCTCAGCCTCAGCACGCTGCCACAGGCGATAAAAAGGAACACTTATGTAAAAACGTGCGTGTGCTGCAGGTAGGACAGCCGCCTATTTATCCAAGAAACCTAGCAAAGGCTGGGAAGCTGGGACTGAAGCCAAGGGCGAAGACCAGAATCTGGACGATACCGCTGTGATTGCTTATCACTCTGCTTGATACTTGGCTTACCGAAAGCAGGTTTCTCAGTTCAGCTGTACCTGCCTTCAATTAAAGGATTTTGTGCCTGCAACACTAGGGGAAATAAAAATGTCCAAAGCATGCACAATGAACACAGCCAGGAGGTGCAGCGCTGCTACGGAATAAAGAAGCTTCTGTGACCTTCAATAAAAATTGCTGTGTTAAGTTGGAACCTCAGGCATTTGGCACCGAATTCAGTTCAGTGCAAATGCTCATTTTCTTTCTCCTTCCTCAGCCAAGTTGCTGTATCTCCGGTCAAATTCTGCAGTCACTTAGGAAAACGCTGCACCGCTCCGTCACCTTCGCAAGAGCAGGTCTGCAGGGGCAGCTCTGGCACAAGGAGTTCTTGAGATTACCGAGTTTGTCCTGCTCCTCTCCATTTCTTGATTGCTTCGTTAGTAGGAACAAAGCTCAGGACCTCAAGCATAGCCTGAAGTACAAAGCGTTTCTGTCACAGAAACCCAGGACCGTCCTGTGACCACTGCCAGGCCTCCTCTTCCCAAGAACTCAGCTGCAAGAAGAGGACAGCCCTGGCCAGGACAACTGGTGCACAGAACTGGACGCAGACACCCCAGGATCAAAAAGCTGGATGTGAGCCATGCTGGGCTGGTTCAACTCAAAGACCAGGGGGAAGATTCCCCAAACCCACGCTATTACCTGAGACCTAATAACTGGGCATGTTTGGCTGTTTCTCCTTGCTGCTCTCCACGTTAAAGGAAACTGGTGGACTCGCTTAAGTCGCTTATTCCTTCTGATTCTGCTTGTCGGCTATTCAGGCAGCACAAGAAGCAGGAATGAAAGTCTAACCCGAATTAATAGATTTATTTTCCTCAACCTCCACACTAGGGATTAACCCAGATGCTCTGCGGAGGTTATCTCATTCCAGGCAAACACAACTGGGCTGACTCTTCTGCTTTAAGGCACGATGAAAGTGGACACGAAAGCCTGATTTCCTTATGGACACATCCAGCTCAACGTTTTTATCTTCAGACATTTTATACTCCTTGGCTGTCAAAAAAGACGTGTCACTGCGCACACAGGCACTCACCACATGCTCGAGTTTTTGCCAAAACTAGTGGAAACGTAGTAGCACCTTAGAAGAGATATTTTCAAATGTCATGTCTATTCTAATAACAAAAGGCCACTTTGGTTGTTCAGTGCAGCAAGAACACAGCAGAGAGCAAAGAATAAGTACCACTCTCGAGGACCTGAAAGCTCATTTTCAGTTAGACTACAGGCTCCTTTAGCTCATGTCTCCAGCATGTCTCTTGGGGCCATGTAAGAACACGTCAAACTTCTAGCAGTGCTTCTCCTTTTGCACCATCTTGGCTTCCATCAGTCTGCAGCTCTGGACAACCCAAACCGGAGGTGCTTTGGCTGGGTCCAACAGTTCCTACAGGCACTTTCTTTCATGAATTGCTTTACAAACCCATATAAATGTTTCAAAACCAACAGGCCACTAGAGGACACCAAGTTGTCTTTTTACTCCATGGATCGAGCTGGTTTGCAGAGTGATCTGCAGAGCTGAAGAAACAACACAAACGGCTCCTGTCTGTATTTTCTCTTGAAGGCCGTATTTCTGTAATTACAGGAAGGTCTCTCTGGAGTTAAAGGTTGCTACCTGTTCAGTGAACAAAGAATTTGGAATTTAGGCATGTTCAGTCCTTTCTCCTTCCCCTTCTGGCTAGCACATCCACACTTATTTTCTCCTCTATAAGAGAACAAGGGAGCCTTTACAGTAAGAGTCCACCGAATCGTTCTGCTGCTTATTGCAGTAGAAGATGGAGCACGAGCCAATGGGTCCTTTCAAAGATGTATGCTCGGTCAATACATGAAGCTTCAAACAGAAACATGAAGTTGGAACCTCCTCCAGGGTGGCAGGAAGCCGTTTCCATCAGCGCATCGTGCCAGGAGAGCTCCCAGCTCTCAGATGGGGTCCTTCCTTCTGAAAGTAGCTTGGTCCCACCTGGGTCATGCTCAAAGGGAATGAAAGCGCAGAGCAAGGGGGGCATTCTGTGAACACGAGCATTAAAATAGAGCGTAAAATGATGCAATGCTGCAAAATCAGTGCGAAGTTTTAGGTGTACTCAGGCGGCAACACACTGCTTCCCGCTCTGCGGTGCTCCCTGCTCGCCCCGCGCTCGCAGGGCACCCAAGCCCCGGCAGGAGCAGAACCATCCTTCGCAGCAAGGCCACGAGAAAGAGGAGAACACGAAGGAGCAGTCGGTGGCGGATGTCTCGTGACAGTAAGCCATGCTGCACATTTCATCAAGAAGCAAATTCCTCTTTGCTGCAATCTGTTCCAGGCTGACTTACTGACCCAGCCTTCCAGTGACATGCTTTAGGAAGGGAGCACAGAAACACAATCACTCTGTGTTTTTTCCTGGCGAGCGTGCGTGATCTCAAAAGCCAGCTTTGTCTTCTTACCCATCCAGAGAGAACCACAACGGCTTAACTTGGGCTGCAGACTATTCAGGGCACAGAGGATCACACTGCAACTCATGGATGCCACGAAAGGTTAGTTTGGGAAAGTATTTAAGGAGAACAGCTTCCACAGTTCTCAGATCAAACAGCGTAACAAATTAAACATACGGTGCAATCAGATGAATGATAACAGGACAGTTTTATTAGTAATTCACGTTTGGAGAACATGGCCATTAAAGCAAGTTCTGACTGCATAAAGCACCACGCTCAGAGGTGACACCAGTCCCTTCTCATGTACACCTTTAACATCCTACTTCTGGGTGACAATCCCAAAAGACATTAATACAAAGCATAAAACCCAGACTAGACAGAGTGAATAGATTATTTCCTACCTTCATCTCCTCTTCCATTTCAGAGAGCTTCCGCTCCAGGGCTCGCTTCTCCTGTTTACAAGGATTCATAACAAAGACAGTCACAAGGATTTCGAAGAAAAACAGTACATTTTAAAGAAAAGAGTCTCGTGTTTCTGTAGGAGCATTCACTGAAAAGCACCTCAAAGCAACGCCCAGGTTACACCAGGAGCCGATCAGACGGGACAGGGCAGCTGGTCAACCAGCAGGCGACGCGCTGGGCCTGTTTCGGCAGATCCTGAGCTCTCTTCATACCCCTTCAATGAAACTAACCCTCACCTTTGGTGACCCCAGTTTCCAGAAGTTTCTGATGTAACGTGATTTTGAGCTCTGTAGGTGAAGCCATGGATTTAACTGCACTGCACTAAAGGAGGCAACGAGAAAACTCACCAAGCCTGTCAAATAAGAAACAGTGAATAGGGAAAGGTGCCTGGAAATCCTGCTTCTCCCAGATTAATTTAGGGCTTCAGAGCTGTGATGCTGACTGCTTTCAGTGTATTTTGGAACCCGACAATTACACAGGTAGGCTCTGCCCTGTGAGCACTGGTGGTGCCCTCAGTGGACAGCCAGAGCCCTTGCCTAGAGGGAGAGATCTGGTCTCCGTCAACGACTGTTTCAACACAAGAGGGCTGAAACTGTCCCAGGAAAGCGCACTGAGCAGGAGGAAATGGTAAACGTGGGTCAGGAACAGGCTTTGCGCTCTCTGCCCTCTCCTTTACCCTCTGCAAAGAAACATGAGGCCAGGAGAGTGAGGAAAACAGCTTTTGAGTGTGGCCGTGGGTGATGGGTTCTGAGTCACCTTTTGTTCACAGCACACTTCATCCAGGGATTTGTCAGCGCAAAATGTGTAAGCCGTCCTGCAAGCAGCTAATGCCACCTTCACTGAGAACAGGCAGCCACTTCTTTTCTGTCAGAAAACTTGTATTTGTAGCTGCCGTGATCCTAATTCAACAAAAGTGATGGAGGACATTGCCCCAGCTTGGAAGCATCCCACGGGTGGGAGATGGGACGCGCGGTGTGAGCTCCCTCTGGCTGGGGATGTCCGCTCAGGGCAAGTGCTCTGACCACCACACTCTCTTTTTTCTTTTTCAGAAGAAAAGCACCACCTGTGTTATGACTTCACCCCGCAGCTACGTTCGTGATGGCTGCGTGTTTGACAACCCCCCTAAGCCTGCTTTAAGCACACCTGGGAATCACGTCTGCATGGATCAAGGCTTTTAGAATCTCAGTCTTGGGGTTCACACCAGAGATGCTCAGCTGAGCTCACAGCTTCAGCAACCTTGATGTCTTCAACAGTCAAAGCCTGGCACCTGTACTGCGGGCTGATGTGCTCTGCCTAACTCTGTTCCTGTCCAAAGTGGAGATCCTGAACATCAACTCCTCCAGATTGTATGTAGCAAATCCTGGGAAGTGTTTACACAGAAATAATTAAGGTCTTTCATGGTCGGAACTGAATTTAAACACACGGTTTGACCACCCAGCAAAGCTCCTAAAAATTCAGGAGATGAAACACCTTAGAAGGAACCTCCACTTCAGGTGATCCTCCAACAGGTACGTGGACATTACTGAGAAGTTGGAGCCAGGCTCCAGCGTTAATTAACCACTGAGGTATGTGGTGGGAGCAGTAATGGCCATCAGCTGAAGCAGGGGAGGTTCTGACTAGATGTAAGGAAAAAAAAAATCACCACAAGGATATTTAGTAACTGCAACACGGGACTGCAGCTGTGGAAACTCAATACTCAAGAAGTCATCACGAAATGATGGGAAAAGCCCTGAGTAACCTGGTTCAAATTCACTGCTGAATCTGCTTGGCTGGACTGCAGACCTCCTCGGGTCCCCTCCAACCTGTCGGAAGCTATGGTCACCTAAGGCGGAGATTTAGCGAGGCACTGCCTGTTCCGCTTAGCTTACTGCAATAAATCTGAACGCTCGGTTAAGAGGATGAAACATTCAAACGTTTAGATTTCAAGTATAACCACATGATAGACACCCAGCTAATGTTTTGCTTTGTCCCCCCTGCCCCAAAACAGTCTTTATTTATAAGGATCAAGAATATTTTGAAGCATAATGGTCCAACAGTCCCTTAGCACCATACAACACAATTTGTTGGGCTGCAGCTTCCTATAATGAAAGAAAGAAATCAGAACTAAGCTGATTTGCAAAGAGAGCAGAAAAGTCTCAGACACTGAAAAGGTCAGAACACAATTATCACTGTGCTCCGCTCCACAAGGCAAAAATATAACTTATCGTTTAATTAACACTTTCCTTCAAGAAATTACTATGCCCTGCAGAGCAACATGAAGCAAAAATTGAGGCTCAGAAGAAAGCAGAGACACATACCCTCTTCTCCATCTCCAGCATGCTGGACCGGTCAGAAGTTTTCTCCTGTTTCTGCTATGTAAATTAAAAATAGAAAGCTATTAAAACAGAGAGGCATTCACAGGATGCTGCACAAAGGCCCAGATAGCCTACAGATACACTGGCCCGGAGAAGAAGCAGTCTTTACAGCATTACTCAGACTTATTTCTGTGAAAAATAAGTCTCCTTTGAAGCACCTTCCCTCCCAAGAGCTAAATCCTTTCCCACGCTGGAACGTGCACCGGCTTGTCATGGGCCGGTGCTCAGTTTCTCCAGTCTAGGAGCCCAATTTTGCCTTACCTGGGCTGCTTTTTCCAGCTTTGATTTGATCTCAGCCAACTCAAGCTGGGCTTCTTGCAGCTTTGACTTCAGCTTTTGATTTTCAGACAGGGCGCTTTCATATAACTGAAATACAAACCAAAGACCTCCGTTAAGTGGCCGCTCCTCGGCCGCCACACAGACCCCGTTCCGCTTCACTACTCCGAGCGGGCGCGTGTCCTCAGCACTGAGCAGAGGCAGCTGCACCGCCCCCCGTGTCAGGACATCAGAAGAGGGGCAAACACAACTACTTTGGATGCTTTACTTGCGTTTTCGTAATTCATACGAAATAAGAAAACAGCTGTTTAATTTTGCAGGGTGTTTAAACACAGCCAAGAGGCAAAGAAAAGGGATGCTTTTAATTCAGGCAAACCACCAGGCATAATGAAGTACCAAGTTATGTAGGCTGGATGTGTCTCAACCTACGATTCTGTTGGGGTCCCCAACACAACACACCCTGGTTGCTCTTGGGTGCTCTTACTTTGAAGAGGAGCAGAAAGGAGGACAATTTCAGGTCACTCCAAAATGGATTTTTTTCCCTTCACATCCTTCAAACCAGCAGAATTTCCATCCCTCTAAGACGACAAACTGGGCATATTGCCTGCCTCTTCTGGCCTGACACGTTCACGAAGAAGAGAGGGGTGCTGCTTACCGTGCGAGGCTTTTCGGCATCATAGTAATTTCAGAATTCAGGTCATCTTAATCTGTTTACGTTTCATATGGCCTTTGCATTGATCCTAGATGTGCATGGCAGTCCATATTACTGCCTTTCAGGGATTATGTTGGAAGTTTCAGAGATTATAGAAAAAATAATTCTGGAATGTTATAGCAGCAAAAATAATTCGGGGGGGATACGCACGCTTGAGCCACGCTGGCATGCTCAACAGCATCTTTTCTTGCTCTTTTCAAATCCTTCCTGGCACTTCTCCAGCCTGACTACTCAATCTCCCTCCCCCAGATATTGAACTTTGCAGGGTGTTCTTTCACCCCCTGCCCTTTTTTCACCCTCTGAAGGGCTGATGCATTTGAAAAAGGCTGGTGTGACTCCCAAAAGCAATGGAAACAGGGAAAATAAAAATAAACTTTTTCTTTCCAAAGACTCTCAGTGCAGGTTTCTGCAGCAACAGGCAGCTTCTAAGGCGCAGGCAGTGACAATAACATATTTTTAAAAATCCTACTTTTTTATAGTCCCTGTTACTCTCCTCTTCTGCTCTGCTGCTGAGGGCGGCTAACCGGTTCTCCCTCCGGGTGTAGGCACTGGAGCGGCTGGAGGCACGATCGCTGTAGGAGGAGTCACTGGTGGAAGGGTTCGTAGCTGCTTCCAACCTAAAACGCGAAGAAGATCTAGCACCGTGGAGCCGCTGCTACCTCGGTGTCAGCCCGACCAGGTGGGACTCAAGGCCGTGGCAGCCCCAGCTGAGCAGAGGCGCTGGGATGGCTGAGCACACCCTCCCCCCACCGCAGGCGGCCAGGCACCCACCACTGTTTTAAACATTGGAAAAAATCCAGTGTTTAAAACCCTAAAAGGGCAGTAATTTCCCATGGATCTCTCATCTTCCTGGTGGGAACGGGCTCCATTTCTAATAGGGCACTGAGGTGTTTTTGTTTTCCTGCAGAGTAGCTGGTAAATAATTTGAGGAGCAAAGGATGACGGCAAACTGGCCCAACAGTTGAGCTAAGGAAGGAAACCAATGGCCAGCACTAGCTTCAGCTTATGCTGTTGATCTGAAGCACAGGGAATCCCCAAAGCCATGCAAAAATATGTTGTCAATAAATATGAAATAGAAAAAACTCCAAAAAATAAAATTCTTACCTGGAAAGCCTTTCATGCTGAAGGGAAAAAAGAAGAAAGAGAAAGGGAATTAATAACAAGGAGAATTAAAGGTTCAATTCAAGAACTGCAGAGCTACAACGCAGCAGCCATTTCCTACCTCAGATGCCAGCACGTAGCTCGCAACAAGCTAAACAGCATTACTTCCCATGCCCAAACTGGGAATCACCAATCCCTGCCTGAATCTTTTCAACTGCTTCAGCTTCTCTGAAGCATTTCAAGATTTCATTTCTTTTGTTAACCTAAAAACTACTGAACCTTGTTCTCCAAATCCTAGTCTCCAGAATTGAAATCCATTCCTTTGAAGCAAAACTAATCTATTGTTTCACTTTTAAAATCAAAGTATTCTTCCTGACTTTGATCACTGTCCTATGCACGAAGTGGGTGAGGGGGATTAATGGACCATGATACGCAGAGCTCGTTGTGTATTTGTGTTGAACTTCAGGAAATCACAAGCGGTACTTTCTCTCCATGGCCAAGTACCTCTGCCATGAAGAAAAGTTTCACCGTGGCAAGATGACGCACACCAGAAGCTGCAGGAGGAAAGGAGAGGAGTCTTACCCGGCCAAAAGGGTGGACATGTAGGTTGAAGCATGTGTTAGGCTCTTCTTTCCCCATCAACACCCAAACCACCCCTGTGCCGCCATCAACACTGCCTTTGCTGCAGAAATCAAATGGTCATGGCACGGGTGTCCAGTAGGATACACCGCACTGACCTGCCACCTCCTCCTCTGCAAGGTTTCTCTTTGGCAGGTGTTTACTCAAATTCGAGGTGCAGCCAAACTCTTTTTCAGTCCTTTGAACTGGAAGTCGAGCCCGGTATTCCCCTGCTAGTTCTATTAGCAGCGTCATTTCTCTGAGCGAGCACAAATAACCTGCAGGCGCTACCAGTTATTTCCCTAGATCCTTTTTAATAAGTGCAAGAGTCAACCCAAGAAGGACATTACAGAGAAGACAAGGGGTCAGGCTTTTAGTGCCCAGACACGCTTGTGCTGGAGTTTGCTGGATACTAAATCTAGTGTGAAACGTCCTGCTGGGTGACAGATTTGCTGCCTCCCTGACACCCCAGGGTCTGAAGACTTCAGACCTCCTGCTCCTGCCTGGCACCCAGATGACGTCTCCGATTCCTGGGCAGGTATCTGGGAGCACACGCACCACGGGCAGTGAATTAAGTCACCCGTTACATGGAGACAGAGGGTGGGGAAGCGACCCTGCAACGTCTCTGCTCAACGCCAGAGGAGCACACGGGCAGGTCCCAGAGCAGCAGGGGCTGTGCCCAGCCTGCCTGCAACGCTGCCCTCGGCTCGCCAGGACGCAGCGACCCGGCTACGTATTACGTACACCTAGTTATTAAGTTTTTAATTCCGCCTGCCCTAATGTCACCCTCATCTTGAATGCTGATTCAAGACAGGAGCCTCCCCGAGGAATCTGCAATCCCTGCCCGCTCCGCAGCACGGCCCTCCGACGTTTGACCAGGAAATGGGAAACAAGCTGAAGAATCCCGGCACATCTAAAGCCTCGTGGATGGACAACACGTTCAGCCAAAGCTGCTAAATGCAAAGCTCAAAAGGACGAGCAAGCCCTGCTATCAATTAGCACGTTCTCCCTAGAGCTGCGCCAGCAGGGCCACCCTGAGCCGGGCTCCCGGGGCAGGTCTGGGTGCGAGACCCACGCCGTAGAGATGGTCACCAAAGCTCCAGGAGCCTGTCCCAGTGCTGGGCCACGGCAGCAGGTGCAGCCCCCTATTATTTTATTTGCTCTACCCTCATCTCCATACATCGAAAGCTTTCCTTGCATCACACAGGTGAGAAACCACCCAAGGGAGACAGCAGACGGCTTTCTGCCATAGCTAAGCCCCGCTGCACTTCCACAAGCAACGTTGGATGCTGTCTGGGGAGCTTCTCACGGGGCCAAACTGGGCCACGGCAGCAGGTGCAGCCCCCTATTATTTTATTTGCTCTACCCTCATCTCCATACATCGAAAGCTTTCCTTGCATCACACAGGTGAGAAACCACCCAAGGGAGACAGCAGACGCCTTCCTGCCATAGCTAAGCCCCGCTGCACTTCCACAAGCAACGTTGGATGCTGTCTGGGGAGCTTCTCACGGGGCCAAACGCCTGGCAGCTGCCTGCCACTGTCACAGGGACACCTGCCTGCTTGTCCAAACAGCCGTGGGCCACCCTCTGTAGGAAGCTCACGGCCAATACGTTGGAAAGCAGTTTCCGTACGGCTGGCCTCTGGCGGGGGGCTATCATTAGAAAGATTTCCCGCTTTCAGCCACAAACGCACTGGCTGATGTCTCAGTGGTCTTTTGTTAGCCGAGCTTCTGACATTTGCCTCTTAAAACCCTCAGCTGCCTGACAGCTCCCTTTTAATTTTGGCCCAATGACCCAACCTCCCCTATTGAGCAGGAGAGGGGAATTAAGAAATGATTAATAAGCCTCTTGGTGAAAGTTATTTGTGCTCTTTATGCTAATCCCCTTCAGTGACGACTCTTCTTACAATGACAAACGGCTAGGCGAGTAATCCACTTAATATCAAGCTCGCATTTATTTCAACAAACGCACCTGCTAATGTATTTGAACAGTGCAGAAAGTCCACACGCGGCTGGGAAGGCAACGTGGAAACCAAGCAATAAAACCTGAGCAGGTCCCCAAGCCAGCTTGTGTGCTTGCAGCAAGAGGCAAAAACCTTTTTTGTCTTTTTTTTTTTTTTCCTCCAAAGAAACTAATAATTCCTATAGGGAGAGAGAGCAGGGGTGTGCTTCTGCAAAGGAAGGGTGGGACAAGAAAGGAATCACTTTAAACATAGTAAAGGGGAAAAACCCCTCAGGTTTATTGTATTTAAAACCTTCCTGTGATGGATACTGAGATGAATTATTTCACACTGCAATTGTCTCTAAAGAGAAGAAAAGTCCTA